AATTTTAATATTTAATGAAATTTTAATGTTTAACATGTGCAATCATTGAAATATTAAATTTTTTAACGATATTGAAATAGTTAAAAAAATTATTAAGTTTAATTAAAACAAATTTATTTTATATTGCATAAATAAATATAATATCTATCCTTTATTACAACTACGAAAACATACGAATTAACATCTTTTTATTTTCAAAAAATAGACAAAATATAACGTGCTTTAATTTAATTGATCTTACATTAAATTATGTAAAAGTAGTTGATGTATATAAATTAATAAACTTATATACTTTATTAAAATTAAGAATTTTTATATGTGTATTCATTTTTTATTAAATATCATATTTAATTGATATTATTTTCAGACGCACGACTTCTATGACTTTTAAGATACAATTTTTATTGTTTACCAAAAAACAAAATAAAATAAGAGCATAGAATAATCAGAATAATGCATAGGATACTAGTAGTTCTAAAAAAAGGAAATAGTAGAACAGGGAATATATCTATGTAAGCAAAATTTCGATGTATAGAGAAATTGATTCATGCAGTTGCATGCAAGGATACCAATGGTTCAGTATTTTATATACTTAGTGACTAAAGCGTAATATTTTTTATTAAAAAATTCCCATATTCGAAAAAAACCTGTTCGTTAATTAAAAAATAGGTAGCAAAAAAATGTATGAAATACGCGATAAAAGTGTGCCACGTGCTAATTTTATATTTATTTTCATTTTGCTTTATTGTTGTTCACCTACTTCACGGTCAGTATTGAAAAACTCGACGATATTGCAAATTTTGTTAGGTTTCTGCGTTGAAAAGAAAGCTGTATTGAGTTTTTAGTTTCAAGCGTGGTAACAAATTTAGTCAAATTATTTAGCTGTACCGTCAACTTCAATTTATAATTGAATAATATTTGAAAACTGTGTTATGTATGCATATTAACAATACTTCAAAAGATATTTTAAATAGAATTAAATATTAGGAAAAACTATAAAAAATAAATATATTCATAGATATATTATACGAAATATAAATATATTAATTATTTATTACCTAATTTATATACTCAATGGGAAACATTTATAGTTTAAAAAGAATTTTAAAAATGCAAAAAAATCGACAATATCAAATATTATAATACTGATATAAGATAATTAGAGATAATGATTGGAGATTGATTTGTCCTTGATATTTATTTTGTCAAATTAAAAGTATCAAACATGTATACATAAGAAAAGAGAAATCTAAAGAGATACAAAGAGGAAAAGAAAAGCAATAACTTATATTTATAAAACTGAGTTTCCAATAAGTTCTTTATATGCTTTCTAATTCAACAATTATATGTTGAAATGAGTTAGGAGTTTTAGCTTTCGTATGTATTCACGAAATTTTTGATCATTTTCATTTTAAAAAATGTATACAAGACTGTTGTCTATAAATTATTGTTAAAAGATTCAGAGTTTTTCCGATAGCCATATATGACTACATCAATAAAATATTTTTGTGTTTGTATAACGGATATAACTTTTACTAACTACGATTTCATTATCTCATTTCTATATAAAATACAATAATAATTCAATAATATTATAATTACAATTTAACCATATGTATATCTTATATTGTACCAAATTCTACTTTAATCATCTAATCTTCTTTGACAAATTTTCATTACTATTTATTTAGTAAAATTATACTAAGTCATAAAATTAAAGTTATACTAAAGTTTATTTTTTGCCACGGTTAAAAATTTATTTCATAGGCAAATGAAAATAAAGTTTACAAATTACAAAATATTTATTGTGTTATAGTATATTAATAAAAAGATAAAATATCATTGGCTCGTCTGAATAACTTAATGAAATATCTTCAAATTTATTAATTTAAAATCAAATTTTAATAATAAATTTTCATAAAAGATAGATCTTGATAGTCATGTTAAAATAGGTCTTTCATTTTATAAGACTTCTCATTTTACAATAAAAATTATTATTATAAACATAAACATGTATTTATACTATAATTATAATTATAGTAAGTATACTACAAGTATTCTTCTAGTAAGTTAATTGTATAATTATAAATAATTGATATATATGTTAATGTATGAAGAATGAAATAAAGACAAAAAGCAAAATTTTAAGTTTTATTTATTCTAAATTATATTTTAATAAATTATTAAAATACGAAAATATTTATTAAACTAATGGAAATTTTACATCAATAAGTTAATATGATAAATATTCAAATACATTATTATTTTTTTAAAAGTATTTTACAATAAATTAAAATTTAAGTTTTCGAATTTTTTCATTCTATTTTTATTCTCAAAAATATATAAAAATGTGTAGATGTATATATGTTTATATATATATCTATGCATTTTGAAATGGAATATATGCTCTTGAATGGAATTATGTATATATATATACATATATATATATAGTAAAAAAGATAGTTCAATAAAAAAAAATGAAAATGTTTATTACACATTATCGATTTCAAATAATAAAATTATGGTTATATAATAATATTCTATAGTTGAATTTTCTTATTAGTAATAAAATCTCATATTAATTTTGTATTTAATATTTCTGTAGATATTGTAATTTAATATATAAGTAGAAATACTACTTTACATTCCAAAGCTATTAAAATATGAATGAATTTAAATACGCATTAGAGTGGGCCAAATAATTGAAGATAGCTTTTAGTTTATAAAACTGTTGAAGAAATTAATTTATATCGTTTTTTCCCATATATTAAATAATTCAAGACAGGCAACATTTTATTTTTGAAATAGCGTTATATCATTTTTAACAGATTACAATTAAATTACAGATAAATGAATTACAAATGGTCGTATAAAAAATATTTTTATATTAAAAAAACTGAGTGCTCGTTATCCCTTATATGCAAGAAGATAGAACCAGTTTGTATTGCATTTCGATTTATAAAAATGCTTTCACTGCCTGAATTCCCGTACAAGTACAGTGGGATTTTCGTGGCTGCTCTGACGAATGGGTTGATTTTTATTCCGTTTTTTATAGAGCGGAGTATACCAAACGCGCGTCAAAAGTTGTATTGGCATAGAAACGAGTTTGCAAACGCATTAATCGAGTTTTCGTTCTCAACTTTATGGGCGATCAGAGGAGAAAGAGAAAAGCCGCGCGAAAGCCTACAGCGTAACCGAGATAGATCTGCTATGTTATCTAGGAATTGTGTCGTCATGAGTCGCGTATTTATATAAAATTTATATAAAATTTGTTGCCTTGTAAAAAATTTTCTTTATTACTCTGGAGATCTATAATAGTATCCTAATTTTTATATTTGAAATAGTAAACTTGTTTTCCGACTTAATTAAATCATACGTATTATGTTATCACGATTAACTGTTATATATTTTCTTTTTTTTTTTTTTAATTCATTGTTCGGTATACACTAAGATTACGTTGTATATAATTCAATTTTTTAATATAAGCAAAATTTATTATATAGTTATTTTATTTAATAATTATATATACTACGTCTCTTTATAAAATTATTATGTTAAATACATATGATTAATAAGAATCGCTATTCCGGATCCTCTCAATAATATTAGAAATACCATTATCCAAACAATGTAATTATTATACATATACTAATAATTCTCTAATTTACATTCAAAATGAAATATAATTGATCTGATAATTAATGGTCTAATAATAAAAGTGCGTCCACTTAGCAACCATTGAATTTCAATTTTACCGCCGACTACCCAAATAAAGTTTAAAACACGAGTTAGTGAGGCTGATTTTTTTTCATCAGAGATACGCGCATGCGTCGAGTGGCATCCAGGCGCAAAAATTCTTTACGTAGCTGCAACGGCGGCTTTGCATGAGGGAAAGA